AGAGAATATAATCTTACAGAATGAACCAGCAGGGTAATACCACTTGGTTCTGGGTGCATGCTGGTCATGTTTTAGAAGGTATTAACTTCCACCATTGTAGAACAAAATGAGGCAGAGAAAACAAAGACACAAAACAAAAAAATATATCTCGTATATCTCCCAAAATTAAACTGAGTATGTTGAAGGGAATCTAGAAGTGGAAAATATATCTAAGACATGTAATTGTAGAAATATGTAAGTCTAAAGGGACTGGTAAAATATCATAGTTAAGGTGGGAAAAGAGAAAAAATATTGGAAATTTTTAGTCTGATGTAAAAACGAGTTGTACTGGAAAAAGGGGGGAAGTGGGAGGAGTACCCTCTAGTTTTATATACCCTAAATCTCTCGACTTTCCCTGGAGCTTTCCAGCGCTGCTTGGTCAAGAACCTTCTCTTCCCCTGGTCTTCTGGGGGAGGGGCCTGCTGTGCTGATTCCCAGGTGTGTGCACCTAGGGGAGCTGCCCTGCCCCCCGCTAGGTGCCGGGTTCAGTGGGAGCTGTTTATCCCGGGAGGTCCCTGTTCCCTGGCAACCCCGACCCTCCCAGGCACAGGGTGACAGCAGGAGGAACAACACCACTGGCGGTGGTCAGCTCTCCAGCCCTGGAGTCAGCTCCCGCAGTGACTACTGCAGCTACCAGTCCTCACTGGCCTGGATGCTCCCGGGGCGGGGGGGGTTCATCTGCACAGTTCGGGGGCGCCCGGCAGCAGGAGTGTCCTCGCTGTCCTGTGCCCTCCCCGCCTCCGCCTGTCCCGGGGGAGTGCAGGATCCTGGGCTGTGTCCCCGGCACCCTGGGCTCTGGGGCCTGCGCCGCTGGAATCGCGCTCCCGGGCCGGGGCTCCCGAAGGCAGCAGGGCGCAGCCCCCTCCCCCGGAGCAGCCGTCCGAGCTGTGAGCTCCAGCCCTTTACCGTGCTCAGCCCGCGGTGTTTGGGGCGCTCTCCTCGGGGCGCGCTCCCTCTATTAGTGTCCCTGGGGAACCCAGGAGCTCCACTGCCCCTCCTGGGATCCCGCCCGAGTTCCCTGCTAAGCGCCTTTCTGTCCGGGAAGAATCTGGGGCGGATTTTTTAAAGTTCCCGCTTCTCCGGGGCGGGGCTCTCCTGTCCCAGAGGCTTTCACCACCCAGCCTTAGCCTGGCTCCTCGCAGGGCCCCTCCCCCATTTGATTCTTTTTTATTTTATTTTTTCCCACCTTCCTACCTTGCTAGAAGCAAAAACCCTTCTCTCTGTAGCTTTCTGGCTGTTTTCTCTTTAAATCTCAGGTCAAATTCGTAGGTATTCGGGATGATTTGGAAGTTATCCAGGTAAGTTGGTGGGGACAGGTGACTTGGGGACCCCACTCTTCTGCCATCTTAGTGTTAAAGATTTTATTGGCTCATTATTTAGATGCGGGAACTTGTTAGAATTGGTTCAGAGGACAAAAAAAAAAAAATCACACATGGAATGTCAGAAGATTGTGCAAAAGGAATAAACCAGGCCGTTCCAGGGGAAGCAGCACTGTACCTCATGGGATGGAGTTCATTTACATACCTATAGACAAGGAATATTTTGAATTGCTGTTGGTTCTTGGTAACCTTATATAACCACTGAAGGCTGGAAGCTATGTTTGCTATGGAAGCACAAATTCCTCCTACATCACTTCACAGATCCTAAAATTGAGCTGTTCAGTAGAGCAGAAGAAATCCACAGTGCTGGGCAAGTTACCCTGAGTCTCAGTGCCTTTATTTGTAAGGTGAGGTTGACACTACTCACTGGTCTGGTCGTTGTGAGCATTAATGAAATAATGCTTTTAGGAGGCTATCACTGTGCCCAAACGTAATAGGTATTTAATAAATATCAGCTGTTGTTACTTTCCTGTTGAGAGACATTAAACTCCACAAGTAGAATGATGATGGCAGAATGAAGGAATGTAGAAACCTTACATACTCTTTATAAATGTAGAGTCAGGAGCAACTAGCATATGTGCATTTAGGTGTATATCTTGTTCTATTTAAGAAGTCTCCTGGGAGGAAGGTCCTTGCCTCAATATCTTTCCTTTCCCTCATCTTGATAATCACAGAGTCAATCAGCCTTTCTAGTGGCCTGATTTGGATCATCTACAAGTAACCTCCCTTAGAAAATTCTTCCGTGGAAGTCTATTTTTCTAGTTGAAGGTACGTACACATATTCACAAGAGCCAGGTGCTTCACACACTGTCCTCCTACCTGTTGCCACCTGCCTAGTCTAAACCATAGCTTTTCTTGCCTATCTCATCTCCTTGCATCCATTCTTGCCTGGCTTCCTCTCCTCCTGTCCTCTATGCAGAAGCCAAAGTGATTATAACATGTAAACTGGAGTGAGCCACTGCCCTTATTAATAATTTTCAAAAAAATAATTTTCAATAATGTGACATTGTATTTGTAGTGAAATTCAACCTCTTTCACAGGAACTATGAGACCCTATCTGATAAGATTCTTGCCTATTTCTCCAGCTGTGCAATGAACCTGTTGTCTGTGTCCTCTGTGTCCCTGCACACCTCACTGTGCCCCCTCTCCCAGAATTCTTTTCTCTCTGCTTGTGACAATGGCTTCTCCTTCTCACTCATCTCTTCAAAAAGGACTTTCCTGACCACTCCACTTAAAGTAGGCTCACCGCACCTGCCCACCTTCTAGCTTACTATCTAAGCCTCATTATGTCTTTTAAAGCCTTTTTACCATTTACATTGTTTTTCTGCCCCTTCATTAGAATATCAGATCCATGGTTCTGTCTCGTCCCCCTCTGGGTGCTCAGACTACACAGCAGTCACTCTGTACATCTTTGTTGAAGGAATAAAAATCTCTAGTTGCCGGATCTTTCATATCTTTATGACAGGCAAAATAAATATTTATTTTATTATTGCTGATAGGAATGTAAATTGATACAGCTTATCTGAAAATAAACTTGGTAATGTGTATCAAGAGCCTTAAAAATGCTCTTAACCTTCCATCCCATTTTGAGGAATCAATATAAAATAATCAGAGATGTAGTGTAAGGTTTAATGACAAAATGCAGCTTTTTTTAAATAAAAAGATGAATAGTCAGGGGGATCCCTGGGTGGCGCAGCGGTTTGGCGCTTGCCTTTGGCCCAGGGCGCGATCCTGGAGACCCGGGATCGAATCCCACGTCGGGCTCCCGGTGCATGGAACCTGCTTCTCCCTCTGCCTGTGTCTCTGCCTCTCTCTCTCTCTCTGTGACTATCATAAATAAATAAAAAAAAATTTAAAAAAAAAAAAAAAGATGAATAGTCAGAAATAAACAAACCACCTGACAATGGGGATATGGTTAAAATGCTTTCAATGTGGAATACTGTGCATTCATTAATCACATATTCTGTGGTAAGTAAAAAAGGCAGACTGGAAAACTTTATATTTCAATTTTGCCTAAAAAGAAATAAATGTTTAGAAAAGCCCCAGGGAAATAGCTATTCTTTTTTTTAGTTATATTACTAGGTAGTGAAATTTAGGGTGATTTAAATTTTCTTTTTACTCTTGCATATTCCAAATTTTCTAAAACCAGCGGCAGTTTTATGATCAGAATAAAACATAGATTATTTAAAAAAAATAAAGCCTCAGGGCACCTGGGTAGCTCAGTGGCTTAAGCATCTGCCTTCAGATCAGGTCATGATCCTAGGGTCCTGGGATGGAGCCCGTGTCAGGCTCAGAGAGGAGCCTACTCATCCCTTTCCCTCTGCCCCTCCCCTTGCTCTTGCTCTCTCTCTCTCTCTAATAAATAAATAAAATCTTAAAAAAAAAAGACTCAATAAATCTGGCCTCATCTTCATATCCCTGAGTTACTGTGCCATAGCAATTAAAGTTAACTCTGTTATTATTTCTAAAATGTGTCTAGACCTTCCTTAATGGGTCAATGAAGTAGTCCCTTCAAAACACAAAACAACCTCTGATATGGGACTTTAGGGCCTTATTCTTTCTATAATTTAATAAAGCTACTTGATATATGAGTCTCATGTATAAGATTCCTTAAATTAGTTATGTGTTCATTTTTATAAATGTTTGAGTGTCAATTTCTTGCAAGAGTATGTATATACAATATGAAAGTTATTACAGACAAGATTCCTTCTGTGAAGAAAATTCCATTTCAAATGTTACTCTTTTCAGCCCCTCAGAGCTTTGTGTTATATTCATAACCTCCCCTGGCTGGCTCTGGCAGGACCAAGAGCTGCCAACCGTCACAGCCAGGAGCACTCAGACAGCCTGGCAGGAAACAGGGTGAGGACAAATTATTCCTAGTTTAAGTTTAGAACACATTAGCTGCTTTGTCAGGACTGGAATGAGAAGGCCATGATGTCACTGCCTGGAAGGGGTTCCCAGTTCACTGCTACTACTGATGTGAGATTAGCCCTGTGATAATTGTGGCTGAAAATAGAGATGAAAGACCTTGAGGACACACCAATACGATTTTTGCTTACAACACACATTGTACATTATCATCTATTCACATAAAGTTACAGTAGTGGCCCCTGACCTCTTTCATGCTTCTCAGTGTGACCCCTGAGAAAATGGCAGAGAACTGTGGCTCTGTGTTCCCCTCTTCCTGTCCCAGAGATGCCAGCCTAGAGCCACCAGCAGCAGACCGACCTGGCCTAAAGGTGTAATGGAGGAGAGGTGATGGGGTAGGCCAGGGAATGAACGGAAAAGTTAAACCAAATGCAACTTTCAGGTTCTGTCAAGTCAACTTTTGTGTTGACTGCTTTCCCCAGTGCTGCAGCTGAGAGGTGTATCTTCCCCCAGAAATCCTGACTTAACAATGTGGGCACATCAGACTTAGGACACATAGTGGGGATGTTGGAGAGGGGTGTCCAGAAGGTAAATCCTGTATATTTAGACCTTCCACAGAAAATGGCTGCAAGAAGCAACAACAACAACAAAATTGAAATCATGTCTCATTTTTTGTGGCCTATGCTCTGCATTCTAGAAAAACTCTGATTAAAATACCACAATCAGACTAGATTTTATAAAACATCTTTTACTTAAAAATGAGGCCTCCTGGGCACTATTAACATGGATGTGTCACCTGTGAATAAAGCGAAGTTAAAGCATGAAACATAACTGACATAAAATTGGTGAAGAGTGCTTTGCAACCATTTTACACTAATAAATATTACTCTTTTAAACCCCAGTGCATCCCTACTGAGCTTGAATCCTGGTAAATGAAAACCCCTTTGGGTTGGGAGAGCATTTGGAGCTGGGATGTGCAAAATGGACGTGGGGCTCAGTTTTGGAGTTGGTGGCAGGGGTGGAGGGAGGGAGGGAGGTGTCTAGCTGGGAGGAGAGAGGGCACCACCAAGGGACTGACAAGGTGGTGAGGGGAGGATGGGTAGGGGTGGAACTGGGTGACTGAGGACCGTTAAGAAAGATGTCTGAGAGTCAGAACAGGTCATCCGTGTTGCTGTGATGTAAACCTGCCATCACTTCCACCTCCTGCAAACCTTCCATTGAATTCACCTTGTATAAGCAAGGTGACCATGAAATTATAAGCTCTCTGGGAATTCACAGAAATCTAGGAAGGTTACTGGACTTTTAATAGGGTATGGAATGGAGGTTTGAGCAATCTTATCTAGCAGGGAGGTCTGAGCAGGTGGCTGGATTACCCAAAACTCTTTAACGTGAGTGAACTTTATATACATATAAATATGTCATTCTTCCTGTGAAATTCACATATTTTTAAACAAGGAGATGAATAGAGAGATGCAAATCATATATCAACAATTGAATTTGTTTGAAAGTACAAAAGCTCAGTGAGTATCTTTCATACTATTCTCTGCCTTCTCTTTCTGCATTTTGATATGTCTCTACTGCAGCAGTCTCTCAGATGCAGCCAGAAGACGAAAGACATTCCCAATGTGCAACTGGGAGGCCTGGGAAGTAAGGTGGTCTTAATAATACATGTTCTTTTCCCACCAACCTGTAGAGGTAGAAAAAAGTCAATGAGAAATCAGGAGTCTGTTGAAGTAGATAAACAGAGTCTCAAAAAGTCCTATTACTACTTACTTCCAGGGTAGAGTCTGATGAAAAGTTTTCGCACCTCATCATACACCCAAATCAGAATGGCATATGGCACAGCCACAAACCAGTACTGAGGCCTGGAAGCAGAAGGGAGGACAGTAAGTCTGAATGGATCCAAAGAAAGGGCCGAGCCCCTGCCAATGGGCAGAGGGCTTCTTGTTCATTTTCTCTGCTCTATTGGAAAGAAAAGTACATCCCTTGGGTCACACAACGTAAAACTGGAAAGCTTCTATTTAAACTGGACTGGGACTGGTAGAAGCAACATCTGCCTTTAAAGCAGCCTAGTGGATGAAGATAGAAATGGGACGGTGAGGTTTAGAAAATCCATTTCCTCTTCTGACAAAACTAGCGGGTCAAAATCTGACTAAACTAGAACTGACTTGGTTTTACCTCTTTTGAAAGTCTGGAGAGGAAAGACCCTCTGGAATCCTGATGTTTATTTAAGCTGTGACAGCTCACAACAGGGCTAGCTCTTTCCTATTCATTGTTGAAGGAGAACTCACCGGAGCATTGTGAAATTCAGGGCTGTGATACTTCCAAGTCCATAGGACAGGATTAATGCAATGATGATCTGCGAGGCAATTCCCACCCAGATGACTTTATTTCTACAAGAAACATAAAAGCAAACAGATTCTGAACTCACACAGTCACAGGACCACACACCCAGTGTAGTCAAAGCCTTGTGTGTTATATACCCAACCATTCCTGCAGAAGGCCCAGGATTCAACCCAGGATATTAGATGTGAGCAGTACCTGAAGAGACCCTGCTGGAAGATGGAGTTCCTCCTGGTTTTCCTGATGATTAGATCTGCTATTTGCTGGACCATGATGCCAACAAAGAAAGCTGTATAGCCCGTCCATTCTAAGTATTTCCTCTGGTACCATGTCTGTCAACAGACAAAAAGGAGACCATGAGACCCCAAAGGGAAAACTGCAGAAAGATTTCAATGTAGTTCTGTAAAGTTTTACTCTCTCCCCACCTCACCAAGATTGACAAAAGTTCACCTTCTAGTGTCTGAAAAGAATTTTTTTTTTCTTTACTCAGTTGAGTCGGGAAAGATGCTAACTTAATTGATCTGGCCCTACTGTGGGTGTTGTTGGACTGGTTACTCTTCCACACAACTGCAAAGCCAATGTAAGAAAGTGAACTCAAGGCATCAAATTTGAAAGCAGAGACTGAGTCCTGGCAAAGGCCAAACCTACGTAACAAAGGGGCACACAGCCCTATTAACTGAGAAAACTTTCACATCCTCTCTCATTAAGGCTGTCCAGGGCGTGAAAGTTCTGTATCAGTCTGGGCAAAGCAGTGAGAGTAGGGCAGAAATGGGGGATGCTGAAGGCAGAGTCTCCTTCTCTTACCCACTGTTGTCCATAGCTGTCTTCCAAGTCATTCACGTTGCTGTCTTCCCATTCCACCCGGAGGTTAATGAGAATACTGGGTTTAAACCCCTCTTGTGCATACACAGTGAAATACACAACAAAACCTCCCACGGCTTGTATGAGGCCTAAAAGAACAAGAAAGATAAAGGCAGAGGTTCTATCAGGACTTAGGAATTGCCCCTGTGCTCACTCTCCTCTCAGTTCCTCCTCCCATCTCCAACCCTGCCCCACGAGGAGAAACACAGTTTCTGATGGACTGGAATGAATTCTTGGGGTGGTCCCTTGTCTGATAGGTCAGAGATGCTCTCATCGTACCGATGTGCAGGTAAGAGTATATGGCAAGTTGCTCGTTCACCAGTCTATCTTTCTTCTTGTGGCGAGGCTTCCTGTTCATAATGTCACTTTCAGCTTTCTCATAGGCCAAGGCAATGGAAGGGATCTAGAGGAGGAGACAGTCCATGAGACTTAGCCCTGGAACACTGTGTTGTATCAGCTGAGTGAAAATGACAGTGGCATAGACAGGAGGCCTCAGGTTGGGCAGTGAGGCTGGTGGATTGTGGTGAGGGGTGGGGCAGGTTATGGAACTGGTCTATCTAGGGTGTATGCAATAGGGGTGCATTGCTTCTAAAGAATTTAAAAACAGTTGGCTTTCAAAATCAATCTGCTTTTTTATTATCACCATGTGCTGGCAGTTTTAAAGATGCTAGCTATAAAACACTTTTCCCTTCTGGGGCAGATGTTTTCTTAGGCATGCCACTGGATCATACCAGTTCCTGCACAGATCCTCCTGCCTGGAAGGCTTGTTAAAGGACAGATGGCTGGGCCCCACCCCCCACCTCCAGTCCTTCGCAAGGTCTGGGCTGGGCTCAGAGAATCTGCATTTGTAACAAGTTCCCAGGTGATGCCTGGACCACACTGCAAGAAGCACTGCTGTGGAGAAAAAGAAGTGACTTGAAAGAGCCCGAAAATGATTTGACTGTAAACCATGAGGACTGCAGTTCCCCTCTAAATAAGAATATCTTTGGCCTCTCTGCAATGTGTTGATGGCCTGGGTATTATACAAAACAAGAGAGTAGGAGGCGGCCATTTGCAGCATTCTCATTGTGAATTCAGTTCCGTCCCTGTTGCCTTTTTCCCCTTTGCCATGTGGATAGTTTCCTAAATGGATACATACCAGAAGAGGGAGGGCTTAGGTGACATTATTGTACATCAGTGTGAGGCCTGATCAGGTCTTAATAACTGCTACTTCTAATTGCATTTTGGTGAGGGGCTTTCAGGTCACAGATTCTTCTACTTGACAAGGGGGCAGTTGTAGGTTATCACATTGGCCACTGGGCCCCAGCGTTACAGGGGCTATTCATGGATAGTTCTATGTTCTCAAAGGAGAGGGAGGCATGGAAGCTGAAACTGACCAACAGCACGTTTTGGGGGGAGGGCAAAGAACTCTTGTCTTGAAAAGCTCTTACACTAAGTGAAGTGGTTTTAACTTCCAAACATTTGACAGATCTCTCTGGTCCTTTGCTTTGATGTGTGGCTGGTGGACCAGCAGAATTGGCATCACTTAAAAGTGTGTTAGAAATGCAGGACTTCTGGGCCCATCACATCAAAGTTTGAGGAGCACTGATTTCGCCTAACTCCTTGCCCTTGAAGGTAATGCCCTGGAAGTTTACATCACCTGGGACAGTTATCAGGTCCTGTTCCCTTTAGAGCTACTTACTATGTCTGTGCCCAAGTCGATGAACAAGATAGTAATGGTGCCAATGGGCAGGGGAAGCCCAACAATGATGTAGATCAGAAAAGGGCACAGCTCGGCAATGTTCTTGGTCAGGGTGTAAGCGATAGTCTTCTTCAGGTTGTCGAAGATCAGACGACCTAGGCAAAAATGTTGCTGCCATAGGACTTGCTTTTGGTCTCTCAGGTGACCCCTGTCTTGGTTAGACCCCTAGAGACCTCACTCACCTTCCTCCACCCCTGTGACTATGGATGCGAAGTTGTCATCCAGCAAGACCATATCAGCTGCATTTTTGGCTGCATCAGAGCCTGCTATCCCCATGGCGATCCCAATATCTGCCTTCTTTAGGGCTGGAGAGTCATTAACTCCATCCCCTGTCACGGCGACAACTGCATTCTGTGGGGACACATGAGACACTAGGAGTCAGCAGGTCCAAGGGGTCACAGGTAGTGCAAGATCAACACAGTCTCCCTTCCCTCTGGAGGATGTAGGGAAAATTGGAGCTGAAACAAGGGCCTGTTTGGGGGAAAAGATAAAGCTGGGAAATCCCAGAAATAAGTACAATGAACTCCAAAGATGTGCTCCATTAAAACCATTGTGTACAGCAGGCTAAAGTGGAGCACTGGGTGTCAGACTATATGTTGGCAAACTGAATTTAAATTAAAAAACAAAACAAAACAAAGAAGATGCTAGTTGAAAGAGGCTTTCTAACCAGGAAAAAAAAGTAAAGTGGATCTCTTATATCTTGTATGTCTTTACATTTTTTTTTCTATATCTTACATTTTCAGATCTTTCTATACCCACACCTACCATAGTACCAAAAGTTTCACTGTCAGAAAGCCCTGCATGCAGGAGGGGCTCTCTAAAAGGAGAGTAAAGGGTCAGCCCCCTGAGAGGGTAAAAACATAAGGTGATGAAGACAGGCAAAGAATTGTCTTGAGGTGTTTTTTTTTTTTAAGATTTTATTTATTTATTTATGAGAGACACAGAGAAAGGCAGAGATATAGGCAGAGGCAGAAGCAGACTCCCTGCAGGGAGTCTGATGTAGGGCTTGATCCCAGGATCCTGGGACCATGCCCTGAGCCAAAGGCAGATGCTCAACCACTGAGCCATCCAGGTGCCCCTCATGAGAGGTTTAAAAAGTGATTTAGCCCTGATCTGGGATCCAGATCTCAGCCCTGCATTTCCCCCATAGGATAGTGACAGACCTGGAAGGTTCTCTGGGCACTGCTGTCCACCTACCTGCCTTTGACACCCTTCTACGATGATCAGCTTCTGCTGGGGGGATGTCCGGGCAAAGACAATCTCTGAGTAGTTGGTTAGAAGCTCATCCAGCTGCTCTGGGCTCATGTCCTTCAGCTCTGCGCCAGTCACCACAGCAGCTTTAGCATCCCTAGAAGGGCCAGAAGGGACTGAGTGAGGCCAAATGTCGGATCTTAGGCTAAAACACTGTTCTGGGCAGGAAGTGGGCTGAAGCCTCTTTGACTTTACCTGGCACCCACAGTCCTTGACACCTAATACTCTAGTGGGATAATAGGGGTTGTGAGTTCTGGGGACACTGGTCTCCATTTCAAGACACAGAACACTGAAGCTAAACAGTAAGGCCATTTCCTGATATTGTATGATAGGAATAAGCCAAGTAGCCTTTTGCTTGCAGGAATGGGTGGGAACATTCCTGGGGCAATATTTTACTCAAGATGTAAAAGGAGGGTAAAAAAACCTTCCTGTTCATGTTTTGGGTCTTAGAACCAGCTTATGCCAACACACATGGGTAAACAAGTCTTTGATGTTGCTTATTTCAGATTTGTAGTGTCTATTGCACAATATGCTGTGTAGGGAGAACAACTTATTACTGAGGTCCTCTTTGATGAGAACTACTGTCTGCTGCCGATAAAAGTAAGGTTCTAGAAACTACTGATAATGCAGATCTGATTGTGTCGTTCCCTGCTAGAACATTTTCAGAGGTTTTCCGTTGCACTTGGAGCAGACCCCAGAGTTCCTAACTTGGTCTGCAAGGCCAGGTGCAGCTGGTGCTGCTGGGCTTCCCCTCCTCTTTGGCTCTCCCCTGCAGCCCTTCATGCCCTCCATTGCCCTCAGGTCTTCATAGGTCTTCCACCTTTGCCAGGAATGGGCATATCTCACCTTACCTCCCCTGACTAACACTCTACATTTTAGCTTTCAAATCTTAACTTATAGACTATACTTAAAACACACTGCATGGCTTTTTCTTTACATTTGTTTGTCTTAAGCTTTTTTAGGTATGTGTTTTCCTGTTGGTGCTAAAAACCAGAATCCTAGCACTTGACTCAAACTATAGGTATCCCTGTGTTCTGGTAAAAAAAATTATAAAAGTAAGATAAGAAGAAAAGGGTGTGTCCTTTCTCCCCACAGTGGCAAAAAGTACAGTTATTGTATGATCACGAAGCTACAGTTGATAAAGTAGATAACTGAAAATATTCACAAAAGAATCTATGCCATCTCTTGTTCAGTTAGGTGAGTTGCACAAAAATGTATTACCCTATTATTTGTAAAAACAAAACGAATTTTAAAAGTTCCAAAAAGTTTTTGTTGAGGAGTGTTGTTTACACAAAGGAGTGTTGGAATACTCTTAGACTTCAGATGTTGTTGTTTTCAGAGGCTATGATATAACTCTGTTTGGTTGTCTTAACTGGTAATTTGCTGTCCTGCTAATAACTTATTGACTGACAGCTCCGTATTCTAAAAGGCATAAATGCTTGGGGTAAACTACAAGAGGTTCATTGGTCTCTCCTTTTTTCCCTGCATTCAAGAAATTATAATAAAGCCAATGACATTTATTTTTACACTGAGATTTTGGAGTCTTTATCATTTATGTTGTCAAGAGTCCAGGTGACTCTGGACTCCTTTGACTGCTTGAACCCTCGTTCTCTGTGTGTCCTTCATTGTATTTCACTGTACTTATCATATCACGATTAGTTTTTATTTTTTCTTTTCCTTTGCCTAGATGGAAAGCTCCCAAAGATCAGGGATTGTGTCTGGTCTGTTTGCTACTATAGTTCCAGTGTCCAGGACAGTGCCTGGCATATTGTTGGCACTCAACAAGTAATTGTTGAGGGGCACGGGGGCAGGGGGCTCAGTCAGTTAAATATCTGCCTTCGGCTCAGGTCAAGATCCCTGTTTCTCTCTTTCTCTCCCTCTGCAGCTCCCCCTGCTTGTGCTCTCTCTCTTTCTCTCAAATACATAAACTCTTTAAAACAACAAGAAAAACATAATTAATTGTTGAAAGAATTAATACATGAGTGAATGAATGGATGAATGGACTAAAGGGTGGACATGATTACAAGAATCAGGAGACAAAAGGAAAAACTGAATCTCTCCTCAGGAAGCTTTCATTCTATTTACTACAAAATAAAAAAAGAGAAGTGCATGTTCACATAGCTATACATCATGAAGCAACTGAATAAATAATATTTTGAGTGCACTAGGGGAGTGCACCAAACACAGAGGGTTTTTAATATTTCTAATTATACAACTGGATCAATGACAAGTAATTTCTTATAAATTTTGTTTCAGTTTTTCCTCACTCTAAATTTGGTGCTGAAGTTTTCAGATCTACTCCATTGGGTTTTTAAATTTCATATACAGAATACATCATGGGTAACTTTCATGGTACAAATACAGTTTAGCGTTACCCTGAGAGAGTGCCTGGCAAAAAGGAGATTTGCTCCAAACAGCACAGCTCTTTAGGGCCAACAAGGATAAGGACTTGGGTAAGACTTTAATTTCTGCTACATTGGTTCTGTGCTTACCGTTTGTTAACTTGCTCCACAGCAATGTGGAGGCGTTTTGCAATGTCTTCCACTGTCTCACTGTTGGCTGAAATGATACCCACACTCTTGGCAATAGCTTTGGCTGTGATTGGATGATCACCTGTAACCATAATAACCTAGAATGCAAACAATGAGAAAGACATGTGGACAATGAGAAACTCGGCTGGCCAGACAGAGCAGGGATAGTTCAGTATCACCTACTCTATTGTGACCTGGTAGAATGTGATTGGTGAATCATTGTGGTTTGCCCTTATGGGCAGTTCTTGATCTTTAGATCAAAGACAGAAGTACCTCATTGGATCTATCCTTACTTCCGAGCTGCTTATATCTCTTCCTCTGACATTAGAGGAGGCTCTTTCCCTGTGAAAGGGCTAGTGGATGTATACTTGAGACAGCCCCATATTGCTTCAACAGTCTTCATATTAACATGGACTGGAATCAATATTTTGGCTTTGGTATTATAAAGACAAATGGATTTTGAAGGTTGAACCTTGAGATTAAGTAATAAAACCTTTTATTATCTATCATATCTAGGGCAAGATTAAGTCAACTCATGGCATTTTCACTGCAGTTACTATTGTGGTTTGTTCCACATAGACACATTTTGCCTTTATTGGTCAGTTAGTAGGATTTTAGTATAGTGAAAGTAGAGTTAAAAGGGGGTGGGGGATTATGATATTTACCTGAGACTTAAATACTGACTATCTCCTATGATATTTTTAGAGAAGGATACAACATAGATGGAGGACTTCTTAAGAGAGGAAAATAACTCCCACCTTGATCCCCGCACTCCGACATTTGGTGACTGCATCAGGTACAGTGGACCGAGGGGGATCAATCATTGATAAGAGCCCCACAAAACAGAGGTTAGATGTGGGAAAGTTCATGGCATCTACATCAAATGTGTAAGTTTCTGGAAACTCATCTGCTGGCAGGTAGAGATGACAGAAACCTGGAATGCATGTGAATTTGAGAGTCAATGAAGTTAGGATAAGAAATAACAAAAGAAAAGGAAAAACATTTTCACATACTCCTTTACTATTTTACTAATACTTGAGAGTATTCCAGAATTGTTTAATTCTTTCAATTCCATAATGCATGCTATAATTAGGAAGGACATATTTCATCCAAAAGTAATTTACTGTGTGTCCACTGGATTCTCTGTTATGTTCTGGGGATATAGAGACCAAGAAGGGATAGCCTTTGCTTCTGAAGATATCTCAGTTTAGTGTGACAACAAAGACATAAAGAAGTAAAGCATAAAAAAGCACAGTGAGTGTCACAGAGTAGAGCCACCTGGGTAATCAAGAAAGACTTCTGCGAGGAGGTCACGTATGAGTTGACTCTTGAGAGAAGAGTTAGACATTTTCTAGGGAGAAGGGAGGGAGGGTTGGGGATGGGAAGGCCATTTGAGGCACAGAAAACAGCATGTGCTACTGCAAAAACAAGGGAAGAATCCAGGGTACCAGGGGGATGGTGCGAAGCTGTCTTTAATCAAGGTAAGTATGAGAGAAAGGCCATTTGGAATGGAGAACTTTTTGTAATTCAGAAGGGATCTGCTTCAAACAGGTTAAGGTGGATGGGATTCCTCTGTCTGGTGGGACTCCCAAGATCACATGACTTTTTCATCAGCTTTTATATCAAATTTATTATCAGCATGTCCCACTGCCTTACACACTTCAGTAAAGCACAGGGCAGAGTCTGAGAGGTCAAACACCAGGTTCCTAGAGCAATTCTTGTCAGATGGGTATCAATCCTGCATTGAAAACACGAGCTGGTGCTGTGGGTTATTTAAGGCATGCTTAAAGCATTATCACCTCATTTAATTATTTCATTTGCCTTACAAGCTGAAATATCCTTTAGAAACACATTCCACAGATTCCATCTCTATTGGCAAGAACCTTTATCATGTTTAATGAGCCTTATCATCAACTGTGAACTTCTGTTACCTAGAATTCATATTCTGTAGTTCACAGGTCCCATTCTGTCAACCCAGGATTGGGTTTTCATGACAGAACATACCCTCTGAGATCACTAAAGTTATCACAATTAGGCTCCTACCACCATGGCAGCATTTCTGTGGTTCCTTCCACCTCTGACAACCCCTGTCTCTATTACTGGTAGTACTGTCCCTACTAAGCAAGTGAGAAACTTCCATATTATTTTAAACTTATTTTTCTCCTCTGACTAGTGGCTAAATCTTACCAGTTCTGCTTCCACGAAGTCTGTTGTGTCTGACCCCCTCCTTCACATTCCTAGTGCCTTGGATCAGATTCCCAACCTCTTTTACCTGAATGAGGGCAACCACCTCCTCCTGAGACCCATGCCTCTCCTCTCCTTGCTGCTGCCAAGAATTATCCTTTAGAAAACACTGTAATTCTGACTGGTCCACTCACCACAAAGTCTTTAGTGACTCTCTCTGACTATGGGATGGAACCCCAGTTCCTCACCCACACAAGGCACTCCTCATCATGCATGCCCTCCAATCTCTTTCCTGCTCATTTCCTGGGACTATGCCATCTCATCTACCTGTAAAACTCAACAGACTGCCCCACTTATAATGTGTGCACACATCCCATCCACTTCTAACTCTGTGCTTTGGCCTATGCTGTTCCCTCTATTGCCAATATTTTCCCTCACCTCCCTTCAAGAATTATCGTGCAAGGCCCAGTTTATCCTCATATGTTTGTTTACGATATTCTTCTTCCTATGATTCACAGGGATGCCGTAGCCACTCTGCTAGATAACAAGCCTGTCTCCTCTCGTGCCCTGACCTGGCATAAGGCTCTAGAGCCTTACACCCAAGGTAACAGATAAGGGTTCTGCAACCAAGAGCTCACCCAGCACACGCTCCCCTAGGCCTCCCAGCTCCATGTATGCTGTGTGGAAGGCCTCGGCTGTGCTCTTGTCTAGAGGCTGCTCCTGGCCATTGACCATGATGGTGCTGCACTTCTCTAAGATCCTCTCAGGGGCCCCTTTCATCACCATGAGGAAGCGCTTGTCGTTGGGGTCATCCGTTTTGTGTATGGAGAGCTGAGAGGGAAGGAATTGAGCGTGTTAGGTACTCCCTGCCATCAGATAATGACGCCATCCTTACTTACAGGGGCCTGAACCAGACAGACCTCTTAATTAGCAATATTACAAGAAACTTAAAGACATCCTTTCTCTCATGCGGCTACTTATCCTTGACATGAAGAGGAGAGTTCACTATAGGCGTATTCTATCCTTTTTGTTTTGAGGTCAAGTAATATGCAGAGATCTAGACTCGGTCCAGCTCAGAGAGGCACCCTGAATTTGAATACAAAGTAAGTAAATCTCATCTCTCAAACAGAAACTCATTGCTTTTGGGGAGGCCAGATATGGTTGTCACCCTGTGAAGTCATGTGTATTGAACCAGATCTCCTGAGGATGCCTGTGGGGGTCAGGGGGCCGTGAGGCACCTCATCTCACTTCTTTTCTCCACCTCCCTGTCATGGATAGCACCCTTTCAGTCCCAGGCTATTTTGAGCTCAGGCAGGGGTAGGAAGTGGACACTCTCACAGGCTTTCAGGACAGTTACAAAGTAAATAACACAATTTTAACATCAATATCCTCTCACCTACTGATTCTACTTCCAGAATCATCCTAATAAGGTAATGAGAAAAAAATCTGAAAAAAACAAAACAAAACAAAAAACATATAAAATGGCCGAGTCTTATGGAAACCATTTTCATATACCAGGTGCTCTTCTAAGCCTTCAAAAGGAATTTCGGGAAGCTGGAGTGTTTAAAAGAGAAACTGAGTTTTAGTAACTCAGTTACTGAACAAAAAAACAAAAACAAAAAACAACACTACCATTTTGGGCCTATCAGTTGATTCTAAATCAGTAGTTCTCAGCCTTCTGGATACCAGACAGGAGCACAATAAAAAATTAAAAAGTAGAGGGCAAACATAGCTTGTTTTTTTTTTTTATGGCCATGTAAGCACATTAAAAAACCCCAACTAACTAAAATCAAACCAAAACTTTCCATCTATTATCACTATCATTTTCTCAAAGATAGATTATTTGAACACTTAAAAAGTAAGAATAATAAACATTTTTATAGTGCATATTCTTTTAAGTGCTTCACATATGACTCATTTAATTCTCAAAACTACCCTAAGGCTGTGGGTATTATTATTATCACCTTTTACAAGGAAGGAAACTGAGGTGCAGAGAGGTTAACTGGCATGTGCAAGGTTATGCCATAATAGGTGGCTGAGCTGGGATTTGAATTTAGGCTAGTAGGTTCCAGAGTCCCTGCCTTAATCTGGTAGCATATAAAGGATAATCTTTTAAATTAAATACATTCATCCTTACATAAAACTTTATAAAATACTGTCCTAATTTTCCAGTTTATCACACACTATTGGAAATATTTCTATGGGCCGGTCTCAGTTTGGGGAATTGCTATTCCTCTTTCTATTTTGTTTCCTTTGGTTGAATGATACCCCAGGGATCTTCCAAGGCCATGACCTCTAAGACTCTTTTTTGAATGTTGCTCATATGTAGATATAAAATGGCAGTGACAGCTTTCAAAGAGGCTCTTTGACCTCTTCTGTAGTAACCCACACAAATCCTTCTATCTAGTCCCAAATCTGGGTAGCCTACTTTCTCCCTCAGCATTTAGTACATGAGGCCTCATGGAACCTACTTTTTTCTCATTCTCACATGATGAGGAAAGTCTCTACTAGAGTAGATGGAACCCTACTTCTAGGATTCTGAATCTTAGTCTTGATTAGAAGACCATTCAATCTACCTCTTAAGAGCACAGACTCCCTGGGTCTGTTTGAATCCTGGCTCTGGCCCTTACTAGCTGTGTGATAATGCTCTGTACGTCAGTTCCTCATTCCTTACTTTGTAGAGTTGAGAGAATTGAGTGATGGATTACATGTGGAAATTAGCATATAATAACTAACATTACTGTTGTTATTTTAGGATCGTTACTCAATCTATTTTCACTTCTGTTTTGAGTAAGACTTCTGATTTATTGGCTTTAATATTTGACTTCATACGTTTTTTAGTTGTCTATTTGGCTAACTATAATTCTTCATTGGCTTGTTATCCACAAAGATGTTTGCAATACAGTTATTTCCCAATCCTAAATGCCATCCAAACAAAATGTGTCAGTAAACACAGGAAAGTTTTACACAAGCATGGTTACCTTATTTATATACTTTCCTGTTATGCAAAGACCAAGTCACAACATCCTGCTCTCAGCTTTGGAGTCTTTGGGAAGTCTTACCTGCAGCAATAAACTGGGCTACAAGCTCTCATTTGTCCCATCATGGACAAATGAGAGGAGGATGGAGCTATTTGACTGTTGGTCAGCCTAGAATGAGGGAAGACAGCTAGGCAATGATGGCCATTTTCCCTCTGAGCAATGGGTAGAAAGGAGGTCCCTGTCAACTACATGGGGAAGAACTAGAAAGCAATGTGGCTGGTAACAGTCACCTGAGAGGCTATTCATTGGTCTTCACAAAGGGCAATGTTTACTCACAAGGCCCAAGCTAAACTGTTCTTCTGTGTTGTGGTAGAGAAAGCATGGCCTTGGGAGTTGAAGAGATAATGTGAAAATTGGTTGTGCCACTTAGATGCTTGGATAACTCTGGTCACATCAACATTTCCTAAGGGCCTGTTTCCTCACCTAGAAATTGAGATTAATTAGTCCTACCTCAGGCTTATCATGAGGATTAAAAGAGAATGTATGTAAAGTGCTGGATACAGACTAAGGGAGCAGTAAATGTTAGTTCTCCCCATTCTCTTACTTTTCATTTATCCTTTGGGATGTGGCTTTTGCCCCTCACCTGTGCAAAAGTTACCTGTGGGGGTGGAGGTGGCATGTGTGTATGTGTGTGTGTGTGTGTGTGTGTGTGTGTGTGTGTTTGGAGGGTGTAATATAAATCAATCATTCATAGGAATAGCCAGGCCCTGACAAGGTCTTCACTTCTCGTTTTTCTTTACCTACTTCTGGCAAAGGAAAGAGGCCAGCAAAGGAAACTTGTTCTGGGCATACCAGATGCCCAGTCCCTGTATTCCTGTATTTTTGGAGTCAAATATCATTCAAAATACATACTAAAAGAACACTTAGAGGTAGAAATGCCATTCTTTGATAACAAAGATTTGGTTGTGAGGGAAAACTCACCTGAAATTTGTTGGTCGAGTTAAAAGGAATTTCAGCTACTTTGTGGTTTCTTTTTCTAATTTCCATCACATCACCCAGAATGACCTCTGAGAACTTCAGAAGAGCAGTTTCTGAGGCATCTCCAACCACAATTCTCTGAGAATCAAGAGATAACAAATATTTGTAGCAATATAATCTGTTCTTTTATAATTATTTTCAATGAGCCAGCATGTAGCCTAAACTCAAAAAGCAACCACACCACAATTAGCCACTGACTGAACCATGGTGGAGGTGTTAAACTGAATGGTGCTGCCTATTGGCATTAAGGAAATTCAAAACACATAGAGCTCTATGAGACCTGGAGGGTTGCATGAAAATACTAGCTATGAATTAGTCTTGAAAGATGGGTAAGACAGACAAAGGAACAGAAGAAAGCCTTCTGGAAATTAGAATGCTATGAATGAAGACATGAAGTGGAAGTGTTCCACTGTAAGTGCTGGACATATGGGTGGACTTGGGGGATGCTCTGAAAGTCAGGTAAGGTCTAAAACTCGAGAAGCATAAAACAGATGCATGGAAAGTTTTTGAGCAAAGTTAGGTGAAGCAGTTCCTCTAATAAAGTATTTAAGGAAAATTACTGGTATGCAGGAAAGACTGGAATCATAGAGGACAATCAAGAGGTTGGTATAATTAGTTAGATGTAAGGTACTGGCAATAACATAAAAGTAAAATTATATAGTTATTTGAAGCAAGAATAAAAGGACTCGGTGATTCACTAGATATTAGGAATGAAGAAAGTTAAAGATTACTCCCAAAAGTTTTGGCTGGGATGACCATAAAGTGGTTATGTCATAGGAAAATAGAAAAGGGACAAGATAGTGATTTAGAGCCAGGTTGCGTACAGGTGGAAGGTGGCAAATATGATTTAAGAGTCTAACATGGCAAAACTTTCAAGTGGGAACACACAGCTAATTGGAGATCCAAGGAGTTTGGGTGAAAAAATCAGGACTAGAGAGAAGGATTTAAACGATATGGACAGAGAAGTGATGGGCCAAGAAGAGAATTGATGAGCTGTCAAAGAAAGAAAACCAAACAAAAAGTATAAAAAAGAGAAAAAGTCAATGAAGGAAACAGATGGCATATAGAAAAGCTAGGAGAAGATAGATTCAGTGACTCAGAAGGAGAAGGAGGGGAGGGGAGGAGGGAGGAAGGGGAGGAGGGAAGGAGAGAAGGAAGAAAAGTTTGTTTTTGTATATTCTAACATTCCAGGGCCCCTTAGAACTGCATCTGCTGCCAAGAGGAATATATTCTAAGGTCAATCCTTCTATTTCCTTCCAGTTATATTTTAAACTTCAGTGAATGGAATTTATGTAATAGAGAAACTTTGATTATATCTACTTAGCTTGTAAGGAAAGTAACTTAAAGGTACATTCATTTTCAGGAATGAGACAAAATTTTCAATAGACCTCAATCAATGTTCTGAGGACTTGTAGACATCTCTGTGATTTCTCAAAGCTAGGCAGAGTGAAGAAAATTTTCTGCAGGTCTTGTGAGTCAGACTTGCTCTTACTAGAACACACTTTACTCAGTTGGAGAGATTTCAATCAAGCATCAAATCAGAACAAAGAAAGTAATTTCAAACTGGCTGTGATTTAAGACCGAGTGATACTGAAGCTTTACCTTCATGATGGGGACACTTTCTTGTCCTGGTTTGAACTCAGCTCTGTTACACAATGTTATTATCTTTGATAAGGAGGCCCAGGTCCCAGAGCTTTGATCAAAGACTTGGTCTGGAAAACAGAACAGTGGATGCTGTGGATGCTGGGCCTAATATCTATACTATTCAAACAATTCTCTGGGATTGCAGACTAAAGCTGCCATGTTCTCCTTGGCCCCCTCTGCTCGAGTCCACAGCTTCAGGCCACACTGAATGTTCCAGAAGACTTACTTGAATGGTCTTCACTGGTGTCAGCTATGAAGATCTGGTTGTCGAACCACAGATGGGCCACGGTCATCCTATTCTGGGTCAGAGTCCCAGTTTTGTCTGAGCAGATGATAGAGGTGGAGCCAAGGGTCTCCACCGCTTCCAGGTTCTTCACCAGGCAGTTCTTCTTGGCCATCCGTTTAGCTGTCAGTGACAGAGTCACCTAGAGAGAGAGGGAGAGGATGAAGCTTTGAGAAAAACCAACATTTTGAACTCAGGCTCCATAACAAAGAAGCAGCAGAAGCCAAACTAGTTTCAGGACAAAGGTATAGTTACAGATACAGTGAAGCTCACCCAGTGGCTGATAAACCACATAAAGCCCTATCCATATGTCGTAATCCTTTTATTAAATGTAGGAGGCTGGGATGCGTGGGTGGCTCAGTGGTTGAGCGTCTGTCTTTGGCTCAGGGCATGATCCTGGAGTCCCAGGATCGAGTCCCATATCAGGCTTCCTGCATGGAGCCTGCTTCTGCCTCTCTCTCTGTGTCTCTTGTGAATAAATAAATAAAATATTTTAAAAAATGTAGGAGGTAAACAATGCGCCCAAGTTCCTCCATTGTATAAATGGCCAAGGATTCTTTTTTCTTTTTAAGGAATGTGAGAATTTGGGACTCCTGGGTGGCTCAGCAGTCGAGCATCTGCCTTTGGCTCAGGGCATGATCCCGGGATCTGGGGATCGAGTCCCACATCGCGCTCCCTGCGAGGAGCCTGCTTCTCTCTCTGCCTATATCTCTGCCTCTCTCTCTCTCTCTCTCTCTCTCTCTCTCATTAATAAATAAATAAATCTTTAAAAAAAAACAAAGAATGTGAAAATGTAGAGAAGGTGTCAGACTTCCTAAAAATCTGTAAGTGGTGGTTTGAGTCTGTCTTATATAGTTCCTTTTTTTTTTTTTTTTGGTCTTTTCTAGCTCCTAATGAGAAAGATAACATGCAATTTGCAGATGGAACCCCTAAAAATGAAAATATAAAGTTTTCTAGGACAGAGTTAAAAATGTTAGCAATATCACAATGTCTTTTGTCTCTCTAAGGAACAATCTATTCAGGATGTCCCATTGTGTCCCATGACAGTGAGGCACTGTCCCTTTGAAGATGGAGGAGATTTGAAGTGTATGGGTGAGTGCTACCCAGCACAGCAGAATGCCACGTGTTCACAGGGTCAAGGGACAGGCCACCTGGCATCATGGACTCACAGTGACAGTGGCCAGGAGACCCTCAGGCACATTGGCCACAATGATGCCAATGAGGAAGATGATGGCGTCCAGAACCTGATACTTCAGGGACACTGCGATGATGAAGAAAAGGATGCCGATGGAGACAGCCACTCCTGCCACAATATGGACAAAGTGCTCAATCTCAATGGCAATGGGTGTCTTCTCATTTCCAACTCCTGAAGCCAGTGAGGCGATCTGACCAATGATGGTGCGGTCGCCTGTGTTGATGACCATGCCAGTTGCTGTGCCTACAGGTGAAGTAGACATTTTATTCTGGGGATCCTCAGCTACGAGGATCTGCTTCCAATCCTCTCTTTGCTGGTTTACATGATCAATTAGTACACATTACAAAGTTCTCTGGACTCTTTAGTTCCACGTTTTGTCCTTGCAAAGCTTTATAGCAAGAGATGGTAAAGAGACAAGAACCTGTGGGGGGAGAAGTGATATGGGTGGGGCATACGGTCCTGAGAACCAGCTGGACTTACCTTCAAGACAGGTTGTAGAATAGAAGGCAATGTTCTTTGTTTCCAGGAGACTATCATGGGTAAACTCAGAGGAGCGGGCCTGGGGCTCAGATTCTCCAGTGAGAGATGAGTTATCTACCTAGAAGAAATTTTGAAAAAAAAGCTCCAGATCTGGCATCTTGTTCCCTGTCCCAGTTACACTGAGATCTAAAAGGACAACAGAACATCAACTAGTTATCAGCATGCTCTTTGGGGCACCCCATGATGATGCTTACCTTACACCCCTGAGCAGACAACAACCTGATGTCTGCAGGGACCCGGTCTCCCCCTTTAATCTCCACTATGTCCCCCACCACCAGTTGCTCTGCAGGGATTGTCCTCTTCTCCGAATCTCGAATGACAAAAGCTTGCTGCAAAAGAAAACAGTGACGGTGGCCTCAGATCCTGGAATGACCCCAACCCTCCTCCACACACCCCCACATCTCAGGGATGGAAGCCACAGCTGTCAGAATGGCAACAATGTGACAAAAAACTTTTACTTGGGGACAGAAGACACTAAGTACTATCTCCTTTTTGAGGAAGAACTCTTGGAGATATTCTTCAAACCAGAAAACTCTGTGGGCCGATACAGCAAATTGACAGTCCTGAGCATGACAGACAGACAATTAAGCATGAGTGATCTTGGCTGGGATGTTGAGGAAGAACCCTGATGGCTGAGCCAAAGGGTTTTAATACTCTTGCTCGGGTCAGGAAAACTTTCGTGGAGTAGGAGGCTGATCTCCCACTTCTTAGCATGGATGATTCCATCCAGAACCCTCTCCAGCAGGCAGCTCTATGGGCCAGGGCAGTATGGTGTTTGCACTGTGCTGACAGTGGTGCAAGATCTCCCTAGAGGCCTCCTTCATGGGGTCTGGCAGGAAGACAAGAGCAGTGGGGGGCGTCCCTGACTGTAATTTGAGGCAACATGCCAAGACGCTCCAAAATGGGTGCAAAAATGGTCACAGATAACAAATTGCAAGTTGACCTCCTTGGCTACCAGGGAATATTCCCAAACTTCTACAGGTCACTCTTGGAAGCACCTGAATTACTTTTGTTTGAATAGTTCACCAAAGCTCAAGAGCAGTAATAGAAAATATTGTGCAGCGACTGATGTTTGTCCTATTTTGCTCGACTAAGCATTTTCCTGTATCTTATTTCTCTGATCATCTCAAAACTCTGTGCAGAAATAGGGCTTCAAAAGGATGGTCTAAGACTTCTCAGATAGCATAGGGGGTGGAGCACAGACCTTCTGCCTCAGAGGCCCCACTCTCCTCCTTATCCAATGCTTCTTCATTTGAAGTGATGTGGAGACCAGAGAGGGATGGCTGCCACTCACCTGTGGGATCATCTTGTTGAAGGTGGACATGATGTTGGTGCTTTTTGCCTCTTGGTAGTAAGCAAAGATTCCAGTTAAAATAACGACCAAGGCAAGCACACAGCCCAAGTATACCTGGGTAAGGAGGAGAGCATCAATCAGAAAAACATTAGGCATGAGGAATGGGCCAGGTCCTTGGGCTAGAGCTCTCCATGGGAAGGAGAGACATGGCAGTGGTATGCTGGTGTCATTTACAGGCCACAAAATTTACCCATTTTAAAGTATGTAAGTCAATGATTTTTTATGAATTCATATAATTTTGCAACAATCACCACGATCCAGTTTTAGAACATTTCCATTATCCCAATAAGACCACTACTGCCCAGTGGCAATTATTCCCCACTCCCACCAGTGCTGGCAACCTCTGACCTGCCTTTGGTCTCTAGGGTGTGCCTGTTCTGGACATATCAGACCAAAAGAATCATAAAGTATGTGGCCTTTTGCATCTGGCTTCTTTTTCTTGGCATCATGTTGGTCAGCTCAGTTTTTTTGTTTTGGTACTAAGTTATCAGTAGTCACAGATGCTCCCCATGTTAAAGGGACACAAGTAGCTTCGAGAAGAGAGAACCCCAAAATATTTCACATGGATATAGACCTTTTTTTCCCTTAGGAACTTATAGTTTGTCTCTCTCTCTCTCTCTCTCTCTCTCTCTCTCTCTCTTTAAAATTCATGCTTATGCTGCCTCTGAGACGTCAAAAGTCAGGTATAATTTCTATTTTACAGCTGGTAAAATTATTGATTTTCCCAAACCTGCACAGGGATTGGTCAATGTAGACTCCTGATTACAGCCCACCACTCTGCCCACTAACAGCCTTATTTTATGGTTATTTCCCATTACTAGTTTAGCAAACCCTGGAAGAAGACCCCCTTACATCATCTAGGGATGAGGACTTATTCATGGAGTACTGGATCCCATACGCAATCCAGCACAGGATGGCTCCTATCCACAGAAGGATGGAGAACCCCCCCACCATCTGCTTGAGGAACTTGATGATCTCTGGTGTTTCCTTCGGAGGAGTGAGGGCATTGGGCCCATTCTGAGCCAGGAGCTCAGCAGCTTGGGTGCTGGAGAGACCCTGAGAAAGCCAGACAAAAACACATAGAAATTAGACATTTCTCTTCCCTCAGATTGGACATCATTTTTCTGCAGGTTGAGGGTAGGAGGGCCTGGGAAAAGTGGATGATGCCCCACCTCCCTCAACTCTCACCTTTTTAAAAAGAATATTTAATATTAATGCTTAATATCAGCTAGGCAATGTACTCCATCGATTTGCTATTTACTCTTCAAAATAACCCTCTGAAGAAAGTGCTATTATTAGCCTCATTTTACAGATGTGGAATTTGAGGCACAGGGAGGTTAAATCATCCAGCTAATAAATGGTACCAGGCAACCTGGCTCCAGAGCCACTATATTATACTCTGCTAAGGCATTTTAATTTCTTGGAGATTTATCCAGATATGTAACTTGGCTAAGGAGGATTTGAAATATAAAAGCTAATCACCGGGGCGCCTGGGTGGCTTAGTGGTTAAGCACCTGCCTTTGACTCAGGTCATGATCCCAGGGTCCTGGGATCAAGTCCCACACTGGGTCCCCACAGGAAGCCTGGTTCTCCCTCTATCTATGTCTCTGCCTCTGTGTGTGTGTGTGTGTGTGTTTCTCATGAATAAATAAATAAAATCTTAAAAAAAAAAAGCTAATTGCTACAGTTAAGGGCAATGCGGTAACTATCCAGAAAAATCATCTCACTAACTCAAACAAAATTCATTTCACATATACTAAACCTAAAATATAAAAATAAAAATCAAACTAACAATAATTAATAAACCCCTAAACCTAAAACACCAATCTTTATACCAAACCCCAATATCACCATATACAAAAAAATACTCATACATTACTCTTCATCCTTTACTCGTCACATAATCCCAATACATTCAACCACCTTTATAAAATCCACCCCACTCAAAAATTCTACTAAATAAACAAAAATACATAATAAAGAACACTACCCTTCTAACACAAATGAAATTTTGACATTTAACATCAACAAATCATATCACTTAAATAAACTTTACCATCTCTCTTTTCAATTTTACCCCAATACTTATATATATATAAATATAAGATTGTGGTCGCATTAGATCGTCGATATGTAGTTGGGTGAGCGGTGTTGTGTGTTGTAAAGCTATTACAGAAATGTGCTTATATATCTAGAACATCTATCGTTTTTTGATGTTTTTTCTGTAGCGTCGCAGTAGAGAAGAAATGGTAAAGCTATTTTTGATCGAAATGTAAGTTTGATAATAGAGGAGGTTTACTAGGTGAGAGACGATTGAGAGATCACTATGGAAGATGTGCAATGTGTTGTCTGTATAGAGTAGTACTGTGATTGATTTTTTGGCGCATGATGTGTGTGTGTGTGTATTAGTAGTGATTTGAAGCTGCGAATTGTAATCACGGATATATATAGCGCGATGAATCATCCACTCATTTTTTTTATGTAGATAGTTGTGTGATTGTTTATGTGTTATTGCGCTATTTATATTGATGTGCACCATCTCTAATACCCCAATTTCTCTCTACACCAATGGCGATCTAGGATCGAGACATACAGAGTTTTTTAACGAGGTGTCTTAGTAGAGGATAGTGTCGGAGGTTGCGGTGGGGGTGGACTGGTGGACAAAAAAAAAAAACCCAGTGAAACAAAGTCCTATCAGTTATTTCACTGAAATGTCTCTTGAATCTGTCCCTTTCCCTTCCTATCTTACTGCTGCTATCCTATTTTAGTTCCTCATTTTATATTCCCAGGTTATTGTCTCATTCTTCTAGACCCTTCCATCTTCTACCTTAGGTTAAAAAAAAATCTATCCACCTACCTACCTGCCTACCTATATCTATCTATCTCTTCTACCTACCTATACCTGCATATACCTACCTACTTATATCTGTATATCTTACCTTTTGAAAGCCAATCTTATTTAAAATCACTTGCCTGTTTAGAAATTGTATATAACTAATGTAGTCCTTACTCCTTAGTTTGATATGGAAGCGCTTGATGGTTTCACCCAAACTACCTCTCCCCAATCTCCTTTTCTCCCCCTTCTCTGCCCTTTCCACACACATTAGCTCCTAGAAATCCCATACTGCTCTCCAAATGTACTCTGTCCTCTCTTGTCGCCTGGGCACTCTGCTCACGTAAGTCCAAATCCTCCTCCTATGTCCTGATTCAAATGCTGCACCATCCAGAGAGCCTGTTCTGGTTCCTCTGGTCAGAATCTATCACTCACTCAGCACACCATTTAAACCTCTCTTTGCCATATAAGTTGAACAGACTGGATGTTATAATACTCCCTTATACACCTGCCTCCCCTGCTGAACTGCTTACTCCTTAAGACCAGGGATCACCTGTCCCTCTTTGGCCCTCACTGCTAGTCTTGTGCGTTGCACATGGTATGTCTTTTTGCTGAGTTGAACAGATGTATCCAAATCTCCTGATGTCAAGACACCAAAACTTGTGAAATTTAATTTGAGTTCAAATTCACATAAGGAAGCAGTCTTCCTGTGGTAGGGGAATTTGCTAGATGCCTGAGAACACAACAGTATGCCCCAGAGTCATTGTTCCTTCTCAGAGGAAGAGGTGGACAAGCAGGGTTCTAGACTGTGACTCTGGATACTCACTTTTTAACACTGGTTTTCCCCATTCTTTGATAAGACCATTATACTTCTTGGACACAGGGATTAAAAGTAACCTCTGACCATGACCATAAGGAAGTTTCTGAGCCTTTCTGGGGAAACCACAGCTTTCCTGAAGTTACAATCAAAATAAATGTTCATAGCCAGGTGTCCAGCTCAGCAGAGGGGCTTGACTCTGGGCCTTGGTTCACACATGGGTCTCTCCCATGCTGGGTGTGTGGGTGACTGGCATTCTCAAAGTTGTTGCTTCATCCTAAAGATGCTATCTACTTGTCCATACACCCTAAGCACATGGCTTTGTACAGCCCTTGGCATAGTCCCAGGGCTTCTCCTCCCAATCCCCAGGCCCCTGATGACTTACTGTAATGATGTTTGTACCATATTTCTTTTCCAGTTCCTTAATGCTGAGTTTGTGGTCATCCTAGAGTCCATGAAAGGAAGAAGAGAGTGCATTAATAACTCCAAAACACTGAACTCTAAGCTTTGACCAGCCCATGAAAACTGAGAGTAGCACTAAGGATAGGAGGGGGCCAGAGAGTAAGGGAAAGAGAAAACTTTCTGTGCCAGCTGGTTATTACAGTGAGAGAAGAGAGAGCCTTGCTACAGAAGAGGCTTGCTCTTCTGATTCACCAGCCAGGGGATTTCCTGGCCATCCCTTGAGTTCAGACTTAATTTGCCATTTACCACATATTAGCTGTCTTTAGTTTTTACAAACAAAGCAATGCATTTCATCTCAAACTGATCTCCAACACAGGCAAGTTCTAGCACACCTGTCTGCTCTCCACCTACTAGTGATCTGGATAGTTCAGATCTGAGTTCGGGGGTTAGTTGAGGGTGATGAGCAATACCAAACAGGGGCTCAGACTTGAAGGGGCCTGTACTGAGAGGCAGAGGGTCCTCCTCCGTTAGCCCTATCTTTGGGGATGAGAACATGGGGGGAGAGGCTGGTGGGTGTGGTGGGGGCCTGTGGCGCACTCTGCTGGCCAGCGGTACAATAGCTCAAGGTATCACCCTGTGGCCAGGCATGGTCATGGTCATTCTGCAGCCAGGGACCCTTTAGTTCTCCTCGAGGTTCGAATGTACCAGAGGGCATCCCAGTTTGCTGTCACGAATTAAATTACAGGATTCTTGTGCAAATGTTGGGAAAGAATGACAGATGTTCCTCCCTCAGCACAGAAGCAAGGTAACACTGGCTAACACTATGAAATTTATTTGTCTATATTATACATCTTCACAAAATGCTCAAAGAAGGGAGAGTCTCCTCATAATAAATAGGCATATGATAGAATGGATATATGTTCGTGTTATAAGTGGCAATTTCAAGGAAGACTAAATATGTCTTCAATCCTAAATGATAGAGATACGTAGGAAATAAGAACCACTATCTATTATCCGGTGCTATTTCTCCTGCTTTATGTCATTTAACCCTCTTAACAACTCCAACAAGTAGGCACCACTTTTAATTCCTATTTTTCGAAATTGGAAATGAATGTCAATAAAACTGGATTTCAGGTCTGTCCAATTTCAGGGCTGTGTTCTTAGATGTTTCTCAGAACATACACGGGCAAATGCCCAGTGTTGTGCTGCTAAACGTTTAACAAGCTCTTCAGGGAAAATAAATGAAAAGCTCTGATCTGTAGCATTTACTGATTTCTCACCATAGCCAAATTCCAAGCTGCTAACCCAATGTCAATCAACTTGCCAAATTCCTGAATATTTAACAATTGGCTCTCTTAGCTCCCATGAACCCATATTACTACTATCTGCTCCAACAATAACAGAGTTTCAAAGTCTGCAATGAACTGCAGGGACAATCTAGTAAGACTTTGAGCTGAGTGTAAAAGTTTTCCCCTGACATTCCTAAAACATAACCTGTCACATTTCAGTTCTGAGGCAGAACTGAACCTGTAACCAGCTTTAATAGCTCCAAAGTTCTTCCTTAACAGGAATAACATCAGGCTTCCATAAATCACAAAATTATGAATTATAACTTAAATCACAAAATGCACAAATTACAAAATATTCTTACTCTTTCCTCACTTTTCTCCCTCACCCATGCAAACTGTTTATTTCCCACTTTACATAAAGAAAATGGAGCTTGCATCAAGGAACTGAAGCTGGTAGTTTGCTCCTAGTTACCAACCCCTGAGGCGGAACTTAATTGAGCCTATGGTCCTGTGAATCCAAGCCCAGTATTCTTACTAGTGAAAGGATTCTTTCTCACGGGGCATACATAGCCACACACCTAGCAAGGGTTAGTGGTTTTGGTTTTCCTGCCGCATGGTTCCAGCTCCAATAGTTTTACCTTATCAGCTAAAAACTGGCAGTTGGCTACTGGTATCTTCACAAAGCAGCCAGGAAAGGAGAAAGGTCTGGGCTGTGCCTGTGGAGACTGGAATCAGAGGCTCTTTCCTTAGAGTTCCAGCTGGGAGTGCCTACAACCAGAATGCAGGAATCCCACAGAAGGCCTGACCCCTGGGCAGATATTATCACACCATTTGTTTTAAACAAGGAAACAAATCTCACAGGGATTTTCAAATCCTTGAGACTGATCTTACTTTTGTTAAGAGGTAGGTTATAGGGGCAAGTTCTCCAGGGGAAAGGTCAGGACTCAGTGCAACCATTTGGCTAAAAGACCACATCAACTGACCAGATCCAATTCTTTGTTCAGCTTCTCCGTATGGTGATCCTTTTTGGAGTGGAAGCAGTTCTTCAGGCCTCTGTACCTCTCCTTGCCATCCTCCTTGTCTGTTTGCTCAACGTCTTTTGTTCCACTGAGCTCCACGGAGTAAATTTCCAATGTTTTCTGAAAGGAAAAGCAGAGGTGCAATATTGATCCAAGATGGGTTTTCTGAAAAGGTGCGGAGTGCTTCTGTCTGTGAGTCAGGGCCTACGGGGAAGGGAGTCTCCTGGGTGCTTGCATTCTCTCCGCTCGGGATTGTGGATTGTGGAGAGGTGCTCCCCATTTCCAAATAGCAGCACCCAAGCCCTCTCCTTTCTTCACCACAGTCCTGCGGGCCTCTCCTCCAGGGAAGGTGGGCAGTGCCCTCCTGCAGCTGGAGACAAGCCCCCCCTCCAGCAGCCCCAGGGTCTCCCTGGGACCTCGCTACCCACCGCGCACGCCGGCGTGGGCGCCCCTGCTGGGATGGGGCGTGCCCCCTGCGCTCGGTGAGCCTCAGTCTCCGGCAGAGCGGGCTTTACCGACCCTCACGCAGCCGGGTAACCCTCGCCGGATCGGAGCCGGCCTTGGACCCCCGGATTTGGGTCTTCACCCCGGCCAGCCCCGGGGCGGGCGGGGAGCCAAGCAGGAGGCAGAGGGAGCGCAGAATAAAGACCGCCGGGCCTTCCTCTTTCCCCCGGCGCCCCGGTCCGCACGTCCCCGGCAGGCGGAGGGCCGCACGCACCTTGCCCATGGCGAGGCTGCCGGCGGCGGCGGGCGGGCTCCGGGGCTCCGGGGCTCCGGGGTCTTCGGGGGCGCGCAGGGCGGGGCAGGGCAGGGCGGGGCAGGGCGGGCGTCCGGCGGCGGCGGCTCCTCGAGCCCAGGCGCACCTCCCGCGGCCGAGCGCCAGCCGCTGCCCCGGGAGGCGGCACCCGCCTTAAATGCCGCCCGCCCCGCCCCCGATCCTACCGGTCCGCCGCCCCGGGAGGCGGGAGTCCGGCAGGCGCGGGCCGGCCGTGCGGTCCCCGGGCGCGGCCTGCGCTGGACGAGCCGCGCCGCCCCTCACCCGCGGGGCTGGACGACTCCGCCGGCGGCCGGAGGACCGGCGCGGGCGGGCGGCGGCCCCGGCAGCTGGTGCTCCCTGCGGGGCCCCGGCCTTTTGTAAAAGGCAGCTTGAGGGTGGGAGGCTGGGGGTGCGCGCCGATGAGGCCCCCGTGGCCGACGTGGGCAGAGGGACCTCGGGAATGGCCCAGACAGCTGTGAGGAGTGGCTGAAGCGCTTCGGGGTCTGGATAGAAAACCGAGGTCCGGAAACGCTGTGGGGCGGGAGTGCAGAGGAGAGACGCGAGGACGCGGTGCCGGGTCCGTCGGGGGCGGCCTGGCTGGACAGAGGCCGCAGGCCGGGGTCACATCAACACCTGCATCCCCTTCTCCGTGTCTGGCCAATGCTGGGAATCCCTCCTCCCTTCCTTCCCTCTTGCTTTCCATCCTCCCCTCCTTCCTGCCTTCTTTTTTTTCCAAAACGGCACACTCTGAAGTCAGATTCCTACCACCCCCCAACACTTCCGCTGTGGGGCTGGGCAGCACCAAGGAGTTCTAAGCGGCAAGGGACAGGAGAATTCGGGGTGACATCTGGTTTGCAGATACACATCACAGGTTCTTTGGAGTTGGAGGGGACATTAAATTCTAGTCCAAACTCAAGTAACTGTGAACCCCTGGCAAAGGCTGTGTGGTGTCCTTTCCCTCTCCTTCTCCCCTGGAGAATGCTCTTAAGAGGAAAAATTTGAAGATAGGGCTAAGGAGAAACAAAATCTGCCTGCAGCTGAAATTCCCACTGTTTGCTGGGAATCCAAGAGGGAGGGTTTACAAGTGGCTGCTTGCTCACCTTCACCTCTTTTAGCTCCTGCTCTACCTTTTTGAACAGGTAGAGAATAGAGAAGCAGGACAGCTACAGAAATACCCCCAACCTCAAGTCTAGTTCAAGCTTCCAAAGCAAACTCAGATTCATACTTACTTGATTAGGGGAATAGGCGAGGAATGGGCTTATGGAGAGATGATAGCATAGAGTTTAAAATCAGTAAATTATTAACAACTCCTCCTAGAGAAGATTGCTGTTTATTCTTGTTGGTGTCAAGCTTGGAGTGGTGTTAGTCACTACCAAATTGGACAAAAGAGAACATTGGCAGATACTCTAGCATCTCTCTGGTCCTGCAGAGTTCCTGGTTCCTGTCAGGGGCCAGTCTTGGCCCATGTGGCAGCTTCTGATGCTATCAGGTATCCTGGAGTGTGATTTCTACCAAAGAGGACGAATGGGGCCGCTCCACACCCACCCACCCTAACTCCAGGTGCTGCTTTGCTGTTGCTCATCACCTTGCCCCAAAGTCCAGACATCCCTATATTTCTTGAGGAGAATGTCCTCCAGGTATCTGTGAGGCAGGCCCCTGGAGTAGTCCCCACCTGATAGAACTATGGACTGGATTTCCCCTCAGAAACACAAACTCATTTCTTTTTGGCCCCAGACACTATCACCCGTCCTGTTCCAGGCCATGTACTCTGAACTTCACCCAATTCTATGACTTCTCTTGAACTAGCCATAAAGGACACCTTCTCAAGTCAAATACTCTGGTAGCAGCTTCCGCTTGAGGCTGGATTTTCCTGTCTTTCAAAAAAGCCTTATCCATGCCAAGAATCTCTTGTAGGATTGTTCTCATTGGTAAATATTACATATTTGGGATAGGCTGTCATAATACATATAACTATTCCTAGCTCACTGTAATTGATTAATGCACACAATGAACGTGAAACTGTACTAGACATAGGGTGATGGGAAGAAGTGGTACTAAAATTGTGTCATTCTCTGCCCTCAAGAAAGTTACACTTGAGTTGGAAAGGCAAAATTAATGAATAGACCAGAGTAAATGACCCAAGCCAGAAAAGAATTTAGCACTAAATGGTATAGGCTCTAAGTGCTTTAAAAGTTTAAAGAAAAGATGGCAAGATTTTTATTTCTTAGGATTAATTATTCAGATTATTTTCCTATCAATTTTCACTCTCCGTGAAACGTGGGAGGGAAGCAGAAAGAGTGGCTGAGTTAGGGCCTTTTTTACGGATCACTCTTGCTGCCCTGAAGGTCCCCCTCCTGCTGCAGATAAAATTCTCCGTAAAGGGACTCCCACCAGCTGGCTCAAGGATATGAATAAGAATGGATCCAGCAAAGTGGATCCAGGTGCCAATGGATAGAGGAAGGTTCACTTCCTGCCTCCCATCTGGGTCAACTAGTGCCACTTCTGCCCACTGTCTTCTTCCTCTCCCTGGATTCTTATCCTACGCACACGGGCAGTCCCCACACACCTGTATCCACTCATCACGCCAGGCTATGACGAGGCTGCATTTCTCCACCTACAAGGGCGCCTGGATCAGAGTCAAAATGAAAAAAACAAAAACAAAACAAGACTTCAGCCAAGCACACCGCTACACTGTTTCCTCATTTCTTCATATATAAGAAACCCTGAGGTTGGCATATGAACAACCTGCAAAAAGGAAATCTGCTTTCAGAAATAAGCCCCAATACCACAATATTGGCCCTGCCTGAGGCTGTTAGAGGCCATGACCAGAGTGGATCAGGGTGATTCCAGAAGTAGATAAAAGGCCTGCATGAGGCTTAGATCAGGCCATGGGGATATGCCACAGGGCATGTTTTCTCCCCTTGTGGATATAGCTCCCCAAAATGTTAGGTTACTACAGCGTTTATTCTCTGTGGCTTATCTTGGGTAATAGATCCTTTAAAAAAATAATAATAATACCAGGCAGCCCTGGTGGCAGAGCGGTTTAGCGCCGCCTGCAGCCTGGGGTGTGATCCTGGAGACCCGGGATTGAGTCCCACGTCGGGCTTCCTGCGTGGAGCCTGCTTCTCCCTCCGCCTGTGTCTCTGCCTCTCTCTTCGCTCTCTCTGAATGAATGAATAAATAAATCTTTTTTAAAAAAATACCATTTTCCTTTTAATAGGTGATTGAAAAAAAATTATTGCATTCTGAAGTTCTTACATTTGTTTTTGAATCTTAGGGTGAGACAGATTTTTCCATTTGAGTCATCTTCACCTTTATCATGAAAGTTATACCACATATAGCATAACATATATGACATATAACATGTATGCCATGAAGGATATTATTCATACAAATATGCTTGGTTAACTTTGTGGGACTTTACCTCTTCTCAAGAGTGAAGTACTACTCTCTTGGTCACCAGCTTCCTCAGTCTTCAGTTAGGGAGCCAAAAGCAGATACTCCAATATTTTATTTACTCTGAAATATTTACTGGAGGCCTGTGATATATGTGTAGGGCCATACCAGGTCCTTCCTCTGAAAGAGCTTTCGACCTGGTTGAGGAGGTGAAATACATCACCCCAGGTTAGAATATTAATGTAAAGCCATGTCAAAGGCTATACCTGGTCCACCACTGAGTCAGTGGGCAGACACCAGAGGAACCAAGGAAGAAGTGAGCTCTAGGCAGTGGAATGATGGGTGCCTCTTGAGGGGAGCAAGTGCAAGTAGATTTTGAAGGCTGTGTAACCTGGGACAACTATGGAGGAGTAGGGCAATGTGTGCAATGTGAGAGGAGGAAAGAGGAAGGCAAGAGCTCCTGCAATGACCAAAGGAGTTCCTTTGGCAGTGTTCCAGGGAGAGAAAGAAGCCTGGTAGCCAAAGCAGACAGGTTCTCTCAGGGAGTAGCCAGCACTCCAGTTGTCAAGGTGGGATTGTACAGGGGCTGGACTTTATCAATATGCCTTAGGGAGCCCTTGATGATGAGGGTAGTCTAATGGAAACAACATTTTGGGAAAAATGAGCAGTTCTAGAGCAAAAACTGAAAGCCCTCCTGATTCTGAAGTTACTGGGTTTGCAACTATCCCAACATGAGTCTCGAACCCAGTTCTCTTTATCCTAGATCCTGTCAGTGAGCAGGTTCTAAACAAGGTGTCTTGCTGCTTTTGTCAAATGTGCTTTCGCATCCCAATGCCCTAAGCATGTCTAGTCTCTAAGCAACTGTTATTTTAGACAGAATTTATTTGTTCTATCAAGAGCCTTTGGAATGAAACCAGAGAGAGAGCAAATGGTAGTCACACAATCTATGTTAGGGAAGCTTATAGGACTCTGCCCTCTCCATGCCCCAATACATTTATATTTATCCTGTGTTTCCAGGGTGAATTGAGCTGTTTTCTAGGAAGGGGAGCTATGGATTTAAAAGACATTACAGGTGACACAGTCTGTCTCATCCACAAAGAACGGCTTCAAGTTAGTAATAATGATGATCTGAGTTTGTGAAAAAATGTAGAGTTTGATCTTTTTTCAGTGAAATTAATACAACTGTGTTCATCTCCCCCAATTTTCAGGTCTTGTGAGATGCCAGGTTTGGTGTTTGGGTACATGAGAATGACCTTGTCCTTATGGTGTAAGTGTTCTATTTATATGCTTGGTCATGTGTCTCTTTCTATCTGATGTATTTTACATAATTATGAAACCCAACATCTTAAGTCAGCATGACTATGAACATATCTGTCTGGGATCAGCACTTCAAAATAACAAAAATTCACTGAAGAAACAAATAGGAAAGAAAGAAAAGGAACAGCCTGAATTCCTGATCTCATTTACAGCAGGGCCGACTTAGTTCTTGCTGATCCAGAAAGGTGTACAAGAGTGAACCATGCCACAACCCAGTGAGGAGCTCAAAGCATGGCTTGAGACTTTCAGCATTTTGTATATAAATAAGGGGATGTAAACAATGAGTAAAGGAATGAAAAACTGCTTTCAAGGGACATTTAGGAGAAAACTGGCAAATGCTTGCCTGCAAATTCTACTGGGAAGCTCCCCTAAGAGGTGAATCGGTAGTGGAGATTCTGGA